CGGACCGGTACCGGTCCACGGACCGGTGGTTGGGGACCCCTGATTTAAAAGACAGAAAGAAGAGTCACTATCAAGGCAATAACCACCTAAGTGGGCCTTGAGCCCTGGCCCAAGAAACTAACTTGGGAAAAAATGACTCAAACATGCCCTTCTCTAGATAAAGGAGAGAGCACATTCAAACTTGCAAAATTCAATTATTATATCTGTTTCAGGAAAAATAGTCCTGACCTTGGTACAGGACCTAAGTCTTGGTCTATCTTGTGGGGCTGACATATGGTTACCATTGTAATTCTACCACGATTGTATTTATGGAACTATATTTGGAAATTGGAGACGAGATGTGAGGGAGAACCAAGTCTAGCATTTGATTCCCCTACCCAGATAATTGATCTGCTTGCGGATGGGGACCGTGAGGAACAGGGCTGTCTATCCAAAATCCCATTGAATGGACAGACCATGAAAAGAAAGAGAATTTTGACATTCAATTCTAGCTGTGTATTGAAGGAACAGGAAAATGTATTCCTCTCTGCATGTAGGGTTTCCATACGTGAAACGCCCTTCACCGAAAGAAAATGTCCCCTCGGAAGGAGGCAGGACTGCAAAATATGATCCAAGTAGTAGATGATGCTCATCAGCCTTTTCCAAGCTTTTTCCATGGAGTGCCTCCAGATGAGTAGATTTGTGTGTGTGTGTGTGTGTCAACCCTGAAGCGGATTTGGCTGAAGCCATCTTGGAGCTTCAGTGCTGCCACACTGGAGCTGAGGGAAAGGGAAGGGGGATTAGAGATAGTTGGGGTTGTATAGTCAAAATAAAATACTTTCTCTTGGGAACCAAGGACGTTCTCAAACCTGGCTGGAGGAAGAAGGAGTGATGTCACCAGACCAGTGGACGCTGCCTTGACTCGGCTATGTGACTGATTGTTTGGGGTTGAAGGAAAAAACGTTTACTTTTTAATTAGGTGAAAACTGCAGGAACCTTCAGAGTCGGTTTTCACCAGATATGTGCCAATATGATATTTCCAATAAAGCTATTCTTTGAGGAATCTACCTGCCTCAGAGTTTTGCTTGCAATGGATCTATTACTTGACAAAAGTTTTCTATGCAATGGAGAAAATTCTTTTTTTTTTTTTTATACTGCAGAGAATATCCGTGGGTAATAATTTTAACCATGTAAGGGACAATTCATTCATGACTAGTTTTCTAATAATCTCAGATGCTACAAATGATAACTATCTTCATCCCCAGCTATGTGGAAAAACTAAATATCCTAACACACTTACAATTTCACCTTCCTTCCCTCCAAAGTCCAAATACAGCATCCGAATCCCATCATCTGAAGATGATTTTAGCTTCTCGTAGGGATACCGGAAGATGGTTTTGGGAAAGGCACCAACTTGGGGTTCGGTGGTGAGGGAAAATCCATGGTCATAATGGATGGTCAAACGGCACTCCTGGTTTTTGTACGTGCAAGCTGAAGAAGGAAACAAGAACAAACAGGATTTATGGCACTTTAGAAGAATGATATTGCTAATAAAAGATTATGAGGCCACTTTGATGCTGGTAGTAGCTTGGGGATTAATAGGAATGCTAATGAGTTCCCTGCTAATTGGAAAGAAGATCCAATGATTGTAACAATGAGGTTAATATAGCATAAAGGTTTCAGCACAGCTGACCGTGCACCATTAAAAAGTGGTAAGACCCATAGTGTAATACCAATTGCTGTCTGTGTTTAATTAAAAAGGGAGTTGGGTATCTTATAACATCCCTGAATCAGGTTTATCAGCCTTTGGGAAAATACTACAGTCAAGGACATGGAGTAAAGTGTAAACTTTCAGTGAATAAGAGAAGTTTAGCCATTGGTCTTGCTCTTCAAAATTTCTAGATGCTAAGATACCCCTTGTGACAGCCAAGGACTTAAACGTTACATTTATAGCCCGCTTTTCCTTAAAATGTGGAGTCAGTGTTCTTGTCCTCATTTATCCTATGTCATCTCAAAAGGACCAACTTGTGAGGAGGCTGAGATACTGACTGCCTCAAGCCAACTTGCAAACTCTATGATGAAGTGTCAGGTTTAGCACTTCATGTCACAGATGGAAGTTCAATCTACCCTACAGAACTCCCTCTTGACTCTTCTTGTGGCCTTGAACCTCCAAGACTCACCTTGGTTCTCTGACCAGGCCACTGCAGAGGTAGAGAAAGGGACTAAGCCCGTGGTGGCGAACCTATGGCACGCGTGAGAGGTCACCCAGAAGAGCCCCACTGCGCACGTACCGCCTGCCAGCTGATTGCATTGCCTTCTGGGTGCTGGTACACAAGTGTGCGAGTGCAATTTTCAACACAGGAGCTCAAAAAGGTTAGCCACCACTGGACTTAGGCCAATTGCTCTGCTCTCAATCTCTCCTCAACATCCATCTCTCATCAGATTGCCTGAATTTATTTTATTTATTTTATTTATTTTATTTGTCAATCGCTTACAAGATACAGGTATAAGAATAAACATAGTTTTGAATACATGAGATGGATACCGTGTTTCTCATATAATAAGGCCGGGTCTTATTTTTTTTTGAGCCTCCCAAAAATGGCTAGGCCATCTTTTCGGGGGGGACTTAATCCCCCCCCGCCCCTTGCATCTTCGGGAGGGCGGGCAGCGATGGCTTGGATGTTGACCTCTGCGTTGATGGGGCACTTCCTATTGGGGTCAACACAGGCAGCACCATATCCGGGTGTGCAACAAAAGTACTTCCTAATGGCAAGCCCCCCCCACCATTCCCCTCCATTTCGCATGTTTTAATATAGGCCTTAATTTGGGGGTGGGGCTTAATTTCATTTCATGCCTATAAAATATGCTGGGACTTCCTATTGGGGGAGGCCGTATTGTTGGAGAAACAGGGTACTTATAAGAAAAATAAAAAGAAACAATAGGACAGGGACGGTAGGCACGATTGGTGCACTTAATATCCAGAAAAAAACTGTTGTTGACTTTAGTCTTTCCTCCTTCCTCTCTCCCTCTTCTTCTTTATATCTTTTAAAGCGCAAGTCTGAGATCAGACCATTGATCAAAGGAGTTAAATAAAACAACAGTCCAAACTAGCGTTCTTGAAAAAGATCTGCCACCTAGTATGAGCCACAGATGTCGGATGGAGTTGATTTTGCTCTCAAGCCAATTGCTCCAAATTGCAAAATAAACCCTTTCAACACCATCTAGTTTATGGACATGGTCTCTGTTTAGCTACTGGCAGAATCCCAGGGAGGTCCATGGCGCTCTGGGAGACTTTGATGGCCAAGAAGCCTCTGTGCTCTTGATTTACCTGTGGTGACTTCCACAGAGAGTTCAGCTGCGTTGTGGCAACCTTGAACTAGGCTCCGGGTCCACAGGGAAAGGTCTCGGCTAGTCTCGCTTTTGAAAAGATGGCTCTCGATACCTTGTTGTGTACCTGTTCGAGTGGCAAAGGACAAATCTACCCCAGATTGTGGAGAGCCCTTCCCGGGTCCTGAATGTACCAACCTGAAAACAAATTTAAGAATGAACACATGTTGTTAGAGAAAAAAATCTTAGTGGGAGAAAGGCAGTTTCACTAAGAGATCCCATATGTGTCTGCCATTTGTTCTCTTGCATTTATAGGAAACTTTTCCTTGTGACTAATCAATATCCTTTCCCTAGAATTTCAATCCTAATAAAAAGCAACATTTCCTTCCTTCCTTCTTTCCTTCCCCCAGGGTCATGGGAAAAGAGATATGGGACAAGAAAGAAAAGATGCTTGCTAGGACGAAAAGGGACTTTCAGTATTTCAACATTTTC